GAACTTCATTGATCTATTGAGAAAGAAGCATGTAAAAACTAGAAGTTTACAACCTTACACACGCCAATACCAGGCATATGTTAGACATTAGTGCCTCATGCTATGTACAAAAATATTAGGCACTATTATTAGGCATGACATAAAATGTTAGGTACTATTACAAGTATGAGGTGTAGAATTAAAGGTATAAGCACAAAAGTATTAGCTTAAAGTTGTCAGAATAGACACTTTATGTCTATGTCTAAAAAAAGGTTTTGTATTTTTATATAAAATAGTTTTTGGTTTCTATAACTTGATTATATTAAAGTTTTTTGTCTTTGCTTATTTATGCCTTTGTTTAAATTTTGGTGTTTATACCCATGTCTTTGTTCAAGTTTTTATGCCCATGTCTGTGCCTGTGTTCAAGTTTTTGAGTCTATACATGTGTTTATTTTTTTTGTTAGGTATAGGCGTGTGTAAGGTTGTAAACTTCTAGTTTTTACATGCTTCTTTCTCAATAGATCAATGAAGTTCTGAATGGAACTCATAGACTACTATCTATTTGTCCATTTAGAGCTTCATTGACTCTATTCTGAAGCTTTATTGGGCTCCATTGAGCTCATTAGCCAACTCTGGGCAAGGGCTAAATGAATACTTCCGACCTACTCCATCAATATAAGTTGCAACAACGTCGCTTATTCAGGTCCAAAGTCATACTTATGGGATTAATCAAATTGGATTACAATTGTTTTTATATATTCTCGCTTTGAGACAACTGAAAAATTAATCGATGTAATTTGGCTGATTCAGTGCTGATTCAATAAGTTTATCAGCTGACGTCGGTAATTGTCATTTATCAGCTGTCTTGGAATTTATGATAACAGCCGTAACCGGGTTAAATTTGAGCGGACTTTAGCGTTAGATCCAAATTGATTATCAGATTACAACTATTTAATAAATTCTTGGGACAGCTAAATTTATAAGGATCCTGGCCAATTCGATAATTAACGGCACCTCCGATATTACGGCTGTTTTCATTATTTCTAGTGCAACTGAAAAATTGTCGATGGTCGAATTGATGAGTCACCAAGTTATAAATGAGTTAATAAATTAGTAATAGCTATCTGTCATGTTGTACCGAAAGTCAAGTCATAAGGCTAGTATCCATTGTGAAATAATCAGTTATAGTCTACCATAACTTGATTATCCGACAATGTTTAACGTAAGCACTGAATGATTTTCATACAACTTATTCAGCCACCTCCTAATATCAAATACACGAATTTTCATTCACCTCATAAGAGATGTATCATTCAAAGACATGTCGAATAACTAAGCTTATTAATAATAGTAGTCAAAAAATATATACACAACTATAACTATAGACAATTAAAATCCAAAAATTTTATAAAACGGTCTAGAATTGATATCTATATCTGATTTTTTTGATAATACAGTATTGTTGAGAATAGTAAACAAAAATTAGAATTCTTTTTTTTACATTACATTTGTCAAATAGAATAGACTGAGCATTAATTATTTAAAAAAAAATAATCTAAAAGATGAATTAATTTTATTAAGCATAAAAAAGCTTGAAATTCTTTTGAAATTTTAGTATAATTAAAAATTATTGAAAATAAATTTAAATGTAGTTCTAATCTATAAATACAAAGCATATAATTAATTAGGATTATAGTATATAGACAAATGTTTGTACAAAAGGCAACCTTAAAGCATCATCATTCCAGCGGCTACAACGGCTAAAGCAGAAATTGCAGAGCCAATTGAAAAGGTTATTGAAAGTGATGAAGCACCGCTTTTTGCGGAATTGGTTCCGCTTGCACTCGAAGTGCCAGAAGCATTTGGAGAACCCGACCCAGATCCCGACCCAGTACTTGTATTTGTTGGAGGACCGTAAGATGGGGTTTGGCTTACGTCATCAGTTTGGTAATAAGCTGGTGGTTGATTGGGTGTGCCACAACTGAAAATTTATAATATCGATATTAATTTCAAAGATTACTTTTTTGAATTACAATCAGTATAACTTACACATTGGAATAACAAGTGCTACAAGCTTGAATACATTTTGCTTCGGATTTGCAGGCTTTCATACAAGCCTAACGGTTAAAATTCAAGGTTTAATCATAAGCCAACTGTGAAATCTTTTGCAAAGGCAAGCCTAAAGTAAGATTATTTCCGATATCTACCTGTCCTCTTCCTTGACAATCTGCATAATTTATGGGCCATTGGTAAGCGTTAAAATCAGGCACTTTGTTACTACAACCGCTATAAAATTTTAATAATTAAAATATTAGTCTATCTAAGCGGTACTGTATAATAAATTTTTTTTTTTTTCAAAATTGATATCTACGGGTCGGAACCGGTTTGAAAAATTCGAGTTTATAACATAAAATTTTGTGACATTTTATAATTTATCCAATTAAATTATGATAAATTCTAAAATGTCACAAAATTTATGCGATAACTCGAATTGATTCAAAATGAAAATTATACAGGAAAATAATGATAAACTTACCATCCCCAAGCCATGGTTTCATTGTTACAGAAGTTCTGAAAAAGTGAAAAAAAGTTTTGTAAGAATTTGTATTAAATGAAAACAATTTATATTAAGTGAATAAATATTAATTAAAAAATTAATTATTTACCTTTGGAGACTAATAATGTGATTTTAAATACTTAGTTAGCGAAAGAAAATCACGTGATTATATGAATCTATCGATTAACTTACTGATCCAGCACAATTATTCGTACAATAGCCCATGTTTCTGGAGCAAAGAGCAGTCCGGTCTGGGCCAGTTTCATTGCAAAGGTTATAGCTGAAAGTAGGAAGATCTGCTGTCGGACAAGAATAAGGGGGGGAAGCGGGGGAAGCGGGGGAAGTTGGTGTAGGTGTTGTAGGTGTTTGAGCTAATAAATTATAAATAATTAATTGCAAGTTAATAATTAGAACTCATGAGATTAAACATTAATAGATAAATAGAAATATATTGTATACCTTCAGCGCTGTGAAAGGAAATCAATGCGACAAGGGCAGTATAAGCGAATAAATTGATGAATTTCATTGTATTGAATTTATTTGTATATTAATAAGGTTTCTTATACGCGAAAAATAAAATAATAAAAGGTTAGATATCAGAGACAGAAATCTTTTAGAAAGTAAAAAGTAGAGGTTTTTTTATAGCGAGCGCTATGTTGATCAGAAAGATATCATAGGAGGACAAAGAAATGCAGTTAAATTGTTCCTTATAATAAGTTATGTTCATTTCTAATTATGATGATAGAATCGATCGCATATACGTATTTAGATATATATAAACTTGTATTATGGAAATTTTTTAGTTAAATTATTTCAAACTGAAAATAATTGGTTATTACTTGTAATGAAATGCATATTGATTTTTTTAACCTACCCTAAAAGGAAAATTATAATATAATAAATGATCTGCTTAATTTATGTGTATGTAAAATGCAAAGCTCAACGTGATTGCATTTTCGTTATTTCACTCTCGTTCATACGATGTGAATTATGTACGAACCACTTATGGTAATGTACCTAATTTTGTTTAGTAAAATTGTCACGATTACCAAATATAAAATATACTGTAAACTCTTTTTTTTTTTTTTTTTTTTTTTTTTTTATTTTATTTTATTTTATTAAAAACGTTGTGTTTCACTACTTCACTAAACTTATTTATATAGGTTTAACTACATAAATAATTTAATTATATATGAAATTTAATGATTAACTGATTGTCGTAGTAAATTAGTCTCGTATAGCTTATAAAAATGTGGGGAATTATAATGTTAGATCGACAAATAAAATCCGAAAATTCCAAATATAGCCACTTCTAAAAAAAAATTTGTGATGCAACTAAACATTTTGGATGTGTAGCATCCAAGTTTTATTTAGCAGGTGAAAAAATAGGTATTGTGAATAATAGTATATCGGAAACATAAAAGACGTAGAGTATGTTAATTAAATATAAAAAAGCGTATATGTATAATAAATACTTATGTATATTATTAAGTATTATTATTTTGAACCCCAAGATAGTAGTTATCCGGGAACGTCACGTTGGGATCGCGGTATACTATGTAAATCAAAAAGATCGGTTAAAAAATATCGATTATTAAATATATTTATATAAAACTTTGTCTCGCTTTTTTAGATGCATGGGTTGCATTTTTTCTTTTACAAAAAGTTTTTTAATTACCAATTTGTTCGTTCTTACAATATTTATAAAGTTACGAGATTTGTTTTTACATTATCTATAGTAGTGATGCAATAGAATTGTCCCAATGATTGTCATAACTGAGTTTAAATTTTCGTAACTTGCCGTAACTATAGTAAATAATAAGTTACGGTATTATAGCCGTAACTTATTTACTATAGTTACGGCAAGTTACGAAAATTTAAACTCAGTTATGACAATCATTCTACCGCATCACTAATCTATGAATCTATGGGAATATATTTTTTCCAGTCTCTTTTATGTGCAAATAGTTTGCTTCGTTCTTTAAAAAAAAATATTAACTTTTGTTTTTTTGACGAAAATATAAATTTGGCTTCGTAACTTTGTTATTTGGAACTTGACCTTAGATTTGTGCAAAATTTGGGTTTATAAGAACCAGTTTTAAGGACTGTACATCTAAATAATCTTCATAACATATTAACGAAACTGGATTACACAAAAAATCTGATATTAAAATTTTATATAATACCATATCGAATTGATACAAATCGGCAAAAATGTTCTAATCGATTAGTTGATGATTAGTTGTTAACTAAACGATTAATCGATTTTCAATTTTGTATTTTAATATGAGTTGGCAAAAAAATTTCAAAAAATTTCAATCGATTAGTTGTTAACTAGACCAACTAATCGATCCGATATCATTAATACGGTAATACAGTAATCGTAAACCCACGTGGCCGAAGGCCGCGTGATTTTACTATTAACCTGTGGAAATATCCATTAAAATAACTATAATATATTTTATACTGTATATCGATATGAATTATCGTTATTAATATTTAATTATAATCATCCTCAAATCAAAAAATTTCGCCCATATGACGAGGTAATAGCATGCAGGGTAGCATCTTCGCACTACAACCAGATGTTATAATTTCAATACGACGTAAATATCTATTGGTTTTCATAATAATTTATTATTATAGAATTTAATTTTATAAAAAGTGAATAAATGGACACAAATAATAGTTGTTAATTGGGCTAAATCTATGTATAACTATTTTTCGAATTCATTTGACTCACGCCAAAATTAATATACTATTCTTGTTAATATGTTAGCCTTAGAAGAGCTTATAGTGTCATAAATCTTACGAATATCATGTTCATCAACATCAGAAATGTCGGCCATCATGTAAGCAATTTCTCCTCGTGAATCAGAATACTGTTTCTCAACATTATGGTCGGAAAGAATTTGATTGATTTCCTATAATATATGATTTAATATTAATAACAAATAAATATATTAATATAATGTATTAAAAATAATAAAGTCATACCTTGAGCACACCAGGAACATTTTGATGAGAGAAAAGAACACGAATTGAATTTTTCTCAGTATCCTGAATAGCACGGAGATCAATTTCAGGGAAATTGACAGCACCAATCGAAGTGCCATAATTTATGTATTTGAAAAGTGCAGTCGCTACTTCAATTCCGATCATTGCTTGTGCTTCTTCAGTAGAACCACCTGTAATAATTTGTTATAATAGAAAAATAAAATAAAATAATATTAATATTATTAATTATTTATTAATTATTTATTAAAGAATTGTAAAAATTAATATAAAGAACTAAAAATATATATTTACCGATATGTGGAGACAATATCAAATTTTTACAGTTTAAAAGTTCAGTTGTCCAAGGATTTAACTCATCATTAAAGTTTTGGCCATTTGACCTAGGTTCGCGGGGATAAACGTCAATTGCTGCACCCAGTAAGTGTTCACTTTGTAAACCTTTTATTAAAGCAGGAATCTGAACAACAGTGCCACGGGATGCATTTATTAAATAACTGCCTTTCTTCATTTTAGAAATTTCAGCATCTCCTATCATATTTTTCGTGTCTTCTGTTTCAGGGACATGCAGAGTAACAAAGTCTGCTCGCTCCAAAAGTTCGTGCAACGTACCAACTTGTTTGGCAGTTCCCAAAGGCATCATTTGAATAATATCATAGAAATATACTGTCATTCCCATCGATTCGGCAAGAACAGATAATTGAGATCCGATATGACCATAACCAACTATACCTATAAAAAATAAAATTGTAAGCTTGAAAGCATTTTAAATTAATATTGCATATAATAATTACCAAGAATTTTTCCTCGAATTTCAAAACATTTTACCGAAAGCTTATTCCAAATTCCTTGATGCATCTCAATATTACGATCACCCAATTGTCTAGACAAAAAGATAATTTCTCCAATAACCAATTCTGCAACACTTCTACTATTACTGAAGGGAGAATTGAACACAGCAATACCCTGTCTAGCTGCAGCTTCCAGATCGACTTGATTTGTTCCGATGCAGAAACATCCGATTACTAAGAGTTTTTTTGCCTCTGCGAGGACTTTACGCGTAAGTTTAGTTTTAGATCGAATTCCGATACAATGGACATCTCGAATTTTCTCTATGAGGACATCTTCCGGAAGTGATTTTGAATGTGCTTCCACCTTTAAATACCAAGATAAAACGCGAAAGACTTGTAAGTTGGTTGTAAAAGTCAGATAATGTTCCTCTTGAGAAAGAAATAATTGCATTTAATTCTATGGAAATGTGTACCTGATATCCTTCTTTATTTAAAATATCAACAGCAGCCTGGCTTATGTTTTCCAGTAACAAGATTTTTATGTCACCAGAATCAAATGGCTTAAGAGCTTTCGCGTGAGAAAACGAAAAAGACGACGACCTCGTCAAAGTTGGGGAAGGTTGGTATTGTCCCTGAGACATTATCGTTTCTCGGTGAGTTAAGGTGCGGATATAAGCTTTATAAGCTTTTAAATTTTTTTTTCGTTTAGATTCATTATATTAAATTGCCTATTTTGTATAATTTTATTACGATTATCTAAATATTATTAATCAATTATACACATGATATCAATGCATAACTTATAATGAATCAGTTTTTTTTTTAGATCTTCAGATCTGATATGATATTCTATATCTGTATGCGTTTTAAGGCTTATATTTGGCTTAGCATTAACATAGAAATTCGGCATCGTTTGCCTTAAAACAAGTTTGATTTTTAATTTTTTAAAAATTAATACAATTGGTTTCCATAATAATATGACTGTATAACTAGTTTTGGGGCTTTTCTAACAGTTGCGCAACCAAAAATTCAGCAAATTTACCAAATTTTACTAGGCTGGGTAATACATATTCCCAAATCACTAATAAATACTTTGCCCATTACTATTATATACGTAACTCTTTTCCCCACTTATCTGTTATTAAGTAAAGTTTCTTTTTAGATTGACCCAGCAACCCGGCCGGCTTTTTTTTTCAAATTTCATATATAAAATTTTATAAAATTTTATAAATTTTTTTTATAAAAAATCCACCCGGTTATTACAGCTGTTTTCATAAATTCTGGGACATCTGGCAAAAAATGGTCCGAACAAATATTGCCGGTTCGATAAGTTT